AAGGCTACGCGCCTTCGCGCCTTAGAGTGCAAGCCATCACATGCAGCTTCGGGATCTTGCGTAACAGTCACGAGCCCTTAGCCAAACGTTAGAGGGGGCTGGGAAGTCTGGTGTCAAAAAGGGCCCTTGACAATTTGAGTAGCTACTTGGGGGGGAAAGCTGTAATCAGTACGTTTCTCTATCGGGGCCACAGGGGGATGATATTACCAATTATCCCGATCCTTATCTTCGTTGCCAGCTCGTTGACGCATTGATGTAGAAAGGCTTGAACTACTTGAAGCCGTTGAGACTTAGGGGTACTTAGAAATAGCTTTTAATCTTTGGCTATTATAATCCCTAAGAAACAGCTAAAATTACAATTTTTGCTAGGGTTCTAAGTTCAGTATACAACTCTGAAAGCCCAAGACCTCTTCGGGAGTTTCCGAAAATTAGGAATTCCTTAAAGGGATCCAGTTCAGTATAGAGAGGGCAGCCAGAGCTTCCGTTGCTCTTCAACTTCGTAGCTGCTCCGTAAGCTTTGATGTGGGGGTTTCCGAAAATATGGGACCCTAATATGGTGCCCTAAACAGTAGGATCCTTAATTTTAAGGACCCCTAAATAAGGTACCCCTTATGTTCATCAACCCCCACGTTTTTCGTTGAATATAACCTGTAAGCTCCAGACCCCTTGACCTTAAACCGTCAACCCGAAACTCCTGAACTCCTGAACCCGCCAACCCGAAGAAGCCAACCCGAACCCCCCAAATCCAAGAACCGCAAGAACCCCAAACCTTACCTTTGGTTAGTAGGGAATGGAAGAATGGTAGTAATAGTAGTGTTATAATTGTACTCCATTCCTCCATTCCCTACTAACAAAGGTAAGAAACCCTGAGTTTCAAACCTCTAAGCCCCTAAACCCTAAACCCTAAACCCCTAAACCCTAAACTCCTAAACCCTAAACCCTAAACCAATAAACCCTAAGCCCCTAAACCCTAAACCCCTAAACCCGAAACTCTGAACTGCGGGAAGGTACGGTTCCGGCCTCATCCTGGACAAGCCGGCGCTGGGCTGAGAGCCGCAGCGGGTAGGGTTTTGGCGGCTTAGGGTTTCTTTAGGGATTACTTACCTTGTTCTTGGGGAGCTAGGAAGGAGATAGGAAGTTCGGGGTTTATTGGACAGTTCAGGGTGGGTTTAGATTGGGCGTAATACTTACCTTTGGTTAGTAGGGAGTGGAGGAAGGGGGTACAATTATAACTACTGTTACTACCATTCTTCCATTCCCTACTAGCCAAAGGTAAGTTAGGCATCAGCAGTCTACCTACAGTCTCCATCGTGTTTAGTTTCTTTGAGGCCTGCCTGATAGGATCCTAACCTCAAGACTGTTTAGCAACACGTCTTTTCGGGGAGAGCAAAAGGGTGTTGTGGGGGGTTTATAGGGCGTTATGAGGAGGGTGTGAGAAGGCTCTATAAGGTGTTGTAGTCGTTTGTTTTTGCAAGAGATCGTGAGAACAAGAAAGCTTCGAACGCCAGCTGTTTCAAGGGTTCTCGCGACCTTCTCGGGTCAGTTTGGGGTGCCGGGATTAAGGGTGCAGGGGTTTGGCGTTTATGTTCGTCTCAAGACCTACCCTTCCCAGATACTAAACTCATCTTTTTGTTTTGCTTTATGGCGCTTAGGCCGGGACCTGAGGGTTTAACCCGAACGCTGCACTACGTCGTTGGTAGTCCTGTTCATTTCCTGTTGTTTTGCCCCTCGTAGCTACTAGGTATTGTCTCTGCTGCAACAACAACAACAACAACTACTACTACTACTACTACTACTACTACTACTACTACTACTACTACTACTACTACTGCTACTGCTACTGCTAATGCTACTACTGCTGCTACTGCTGCTGCTGCTACTACTACTACTACTACTACTGCTACTACCACTACCTCTACTACTGCTACTGCTACTGCTACTGCTACTGCGACTGCGCTGCGACCGCGACTACGACTACGCCACGACATTTCCGACTAATACTTCTTAACACCTTTACTACCGCTGCTACTACTACTACTACTACTACTACTACTACTACTACTACTACTACTACTACTACTGCATGTGCTACATCGGCTGCAACGGCTGAAATACTACATCTACTACATCTACTACAACTACTTCTAATTCAGTTGTGCTTCAACTTCCAAGAAGGCAATTGCTTGCTTTTGAGCTTTGAGGCGCAGTTCGATATTCTGATCAACTGCTCCGCGTGCTTCGTGACCATGGGCGCAATCACGTACTGGCCGCTGGGACGGATATTTCATGCCGGCTTTGGGTTTCAAGGTTCTGGCCTGTTATGGTGAATCGTGTCGGCTCCCTTCGGTTTATTCGGGGTTCGTAGGTGTTTCAGATTGATTATGCCAGCATCGACCAGGGAAGCTTGCAGTCCATGGCTCTCCTGCCCAAGAACCATCCAGGAGCAGCACTCTGTCGGGAGTTCGCTGTTACGGTTTGCTTTCAGGATTCCAAGGGAAGCCGCAATTGGCGCAGCCCGAAGCAATCAGGACCTGCGCATTTCAGAAACTCAGGTGGTGAACCCCCTTTATGTGTACGGGATTAGGTTCAGATGAAGCCGCAGGAAGTGCTTCATTGTGATCCAAGAAACCTAGTCCTACGCACTCATAATGCACCTGACCTAACCCCCGACCTGGCCTGAACCCCTTTTGCAAGCCCAAATCCCGGTCTACTCACCCCAACTCTAAACCCTCTAGGCCGCAAGCCCTAAACCCTAAAACGAGGGTAAGGGATGTTGGGTTTAGGTTTAGGGTTTAGATTTAATGGTTCAGGGATTCGGGTTCAGGGACTTCAGGGTTTGCCCTGGGTTAGAATGTAGCTCTAAACCCATCCGACTCATCCCGCCGGAGCGATCCGTGCAAGGCTTTGGATGTTCCTGTTTCATTCTCATCGACACAGGCCCCGCCGGGAATGTAGGGGCTTAAATAGTGACCCGTACCATTTTGGGGCTCCTTCTTGTAATAGTTATAGTAAATATCCTCAAAAACCATATCCTAGCTATGTTTTCTATAATATATCATCACCGAAAGTCGTATTCTGTTTATGTTTTCTACAGTAGAACTTCCCCCCAAAGCCGTAATCTAGTTATCAAGGCCCCTGCATTAGCAAGGCCTTGGGCTTTAGAATTTAGGGCTCAGGGTCCAGAGTGGGGTCGGCCTCGGCTCTTTGGGTTTCCGGGGTCTTAAGGTATTGGGTTTAAGGTTTTAGGGCTTAGGGTTTTGAGGGTCTTAGCATTATAAAGCCCCAAGCCCTAAAAACGAGACGAGCGGACTTCTTCTTGCCTGTAGCTATGGCGAGACTTTGGGCGTATGGTTGAGGAGGGCTCATCCATAGTTTGGGACTCATCGTGCTCCTGGAGTCTTGAATTCAGGTTTGGGGAAGGAGGGCTGGTGTGTGGCTATATCAGAATCCGAGGCTTTTTGTTTGAAGCCTCTTGGGTCATTATCCAGGAATACGTGCTATCTACGCATCTATCCATCTGTCTATCTATCTTCCCTTCTTGTTCTATTCATTTATCTATCATCTAAAGTCATGTAGTCGATCCTTCCGAAGAGCTACCTATCTAGCTATCTTGCCTTCTTACTGTTTCATGTATCTATCTATCGATCCATCCCTCGATCGATCTGTCTATCTATCTAGCTATCTATCCGATCCATCTCTCCATCTATCCCTCCCTCCATCCCTTCATTCCTCCAATCCATCCCTCCATCCCTCCATCCCTCCATCCCTCCATCCCTCCATCCCTCCATCCCTCCATCCCTCCATCCCTCCATCCCTCCATCCCTCCCTCCCTCCCTCCCTCCATCCATCCATCCATCCATCCATCCATCCATCCATCCATCCATCCATCCGCCTGTCTGTCTACCTATCTACCGCGCCAACTATCTACTGTTCTGCCTCCTCTATGCATGGATGGACGGATGGACGGACGGATGCATGAATGACTGTATGCATGCACGGACATACACATACACCCACACGGAAAGGAGCCTGCGGAGCCCTAAGAGCCCCTCAGCTCTGTTGAATTTCATGTCCTGTCCGTGCCATGTCAGGCACAGTGCCGGCAAGGTTGCTGGAGGCCTCTGGCCGGTTTAGGGTTGGGGTGTTTTAGAGTTGAGGGTTCTGAACCTTTCAAAACGTGCTGAGACAACACAAAAGCTTTGCTTCAGAGTTCAGGGAGGCTTCAGCTCCCAGGCTTGAGGAGTTCTTCGGTGTGATGTTGCGGCTTCGGGTTCCGGGTTGCGTTAGGGTTTAGGGTCTGGAATTAGGGTTTAGGGTTTTGTTAGAGTGTTTTGGCCAACGGTCCACGGGTGGTTTACACGACGTGAAGCCCTAAATCGTTCACTCTAGAGGCCTATGGGCCCTAAACGCCCTTAACCCTGTAAACCCTGTAAGCCCTCAGCCCTGAACCCGACACATTTTTCAAGCCGGCTTGTATCTTATTTTCCATAGCTTGTATGGCATGTTTCAGAGTGTGATGGGGCATACATCGCTTTCATACAAGTTGAATAAAGGGACTTTCATCGTTATCACCGACTCCCGGAAAGCTGACATCCTTCTGATATTGCTAGGCTCATAGCCCGAGCCCCAAAACCCAAGCAGTTGCTTGAAGGCTCATGGGACTTAGTAAGTAAGGTTATAAGTAGGTTATAATTAGGATAACCCCACTTAGGGGACTTATAACCCCAATTATAACCTATTTACTAAGTCCCATGATCCTTTAAGTGGTCTTCAACCCTGAAGCCCACCCGCGACTTGAGACGGAGCATGCCTTGAGGCCGATCCTACACGACCGCACACAAAAAGCCAAAGAAGAGCCCATGTGTACATGGAAAGGCCATTGGTCATAGGTCACAGAATCCACCCAAGCCTCGTTGGACTCTGCACCCAACCCTAAAACCACAAAATCTTGCCTTCCATAAATTCAGATCCAAAAAGAATGAGTGCAGCGTGAGTCCGCAATGGCAGCAGAAGCCTCGTCATCCAGCAAGGGCTCGGCAGCCCAACGCCTCTTGGCCAAGGCTTGAAGTTCTAAGATTTGGGTCTTAGATGGTCTTAGTGCCTTAGAGGCCAGCACACTACAGCGCCCTAATCCTTGAAACCCCGAACCCGAAACCCAGAACCCTCAACCCTGAATGCTAAACTCTACACCCGCTACACCCTTCGATGTCTTCACACAACTTCACCCTAAACCCTAAACCCTAAACCCTGAACCCTAAACCCTAAACCCTGTCTTCATGGGGGTCTTCAGGCCTTCAGAGCTGTATATAGAGGCCTGGCCCTTACGTGGATATCTCTTGGCGGCTTTCATGTGAGTTTTTGATCTTCAACCTACCAAGCGGAATTTTGGTTGATGGCTTAGGGTGTGCGATTCAGCAAACTTCTCACATTCTCGGAAATGGCTTGGAGATTCAAGGTTTCGGGTTTAGGGTTTAGGGTTTAGGGTTTAGGGGTTTAGGGTTTAGGGTTTAGGGTTTAGGGTTTAGGGTTTAGGGTTTAGGGTTGCAGCTGTCCGTCGGCCAAGTAGTCTTGCAGCGGCCAGTCAAGAAATGCAGCCATCATTCCTGCTCATGAGGGTGATGACATGCCCCTAAAACTCGTCATCCGAGCCCTTGAAGACATAAAGTTCTTATCTTCAGACACTTAGTTTGGAAAGTGTTTCCGTTCTGATCGCAAGTGATGATTCGTCAGAACTTCTGCTCTGTTCGATGGTTTTCGTATCGTGGTGGTGACTTCTCTGGAGTTGTTCCCCTTCTTGGCCGCATTGCTCTTTCGAACATGTTGCTGTTGCTGGATTCTCGCGAGCGTGAGGACTCCGATGAGTTCTTCATGGCTAGCTTTGGGGTTTTAGGCAGGCGATGAAACTTTCAAGCTGTGACTACGAAGTTACGGTAACGATCATAAGTGGGGCATAGCTTCACCCCATGATCTTACCAGTAGGCTACCGAGACTTCATCGTCGGCTCCGCTCCACCTCGTTCTGCGCTCGTGACTTGACCTTGCAATCCCCCAAACCCTAAACCTAAACCCCACCCTAAACCCTAAACCCCGAAACCCCTAGACGCCTAAACCCTAAGCCCCTAAACCTTAACCCCTTAACCCTAGCCCCTAAACCCTGAACCCAATCACAGGGTCGAAGTCGAGGGTTTGTTTTGGGTTTCTTAAGGATTCTTCAGTCAGGGTGCTTCAAGGCTCTTTAAGCTCCAGGGTTCCAGAGGCTCGTGTGGTCGTGGCTGCACACTGCTACATACGATGGTTTTATTCTATGATGCGGTTCATTGGGCTCTTTTGGGCGTACCAAATGCTGTCGGAAGTGTCTCTTCCCCCCCCGATGATCTCCTCCACTTGAGGAAGATGCTGCTGTACTTTTTTTTATACTATGTTGTACTGTATATAACAAGAAACAAGATACTGTATATGATACTTTATTATACTATACTGTAATACCGTATTATACTATAGATACAACTATATTGTACTAGGGGTTTGAGCTTTGGACGATTTACCCCTTATGGGGGCGCGGAGGCTTATTGCTACTGCGATTATGTGTGGCTGGTGGAAGTCATTGCCGTCCTGATTGCTCATGAGAAGTCTACACCTAGACCCTCAATTCCCTAAACCCTAAATCCCGAAGCCCCCAAACCCAAATCGTATAGAATCCTTCAGGAACCAGGAACCCTACAAGAACTTACATACATGCATACATACATACATACATACATACATACATACATACACACACATGTCTGTATGCAATATATATATATATAAACACATATCGTAGAAATGTGTAAAGACCCCAAACCTCTACCTTGGTCTACCTTGGTTGAGGCCGTGTGATCAAACCCCTGACCGAACACCAATTTCTGGAAGCCTTAAGTCGGGTTTAGGATTTATAGGGTTTAGGGTTTTAGGGTTCAGGGTTTAGGGTTTAGGGTTCAGGGTTTAGGGTTTAGGGTTCAGGGTTTATAGGGTTTAGGGTTTAGGATTCGGGTTCAGGGTTTAGTGTTTGAGGCTAAGGGTTTTAAAAGCTTCGAAAGCAACCCTTACGCCCGGAACCCAGAGACTTTACAGCCCTGGAGCCCTTAAGCCCTTACCCCAGACCTTAAACCCTAAACCCTAAACCCTAAACCCTAAACCCTAAACCCTAAACCCTAAACCCTAAACCCTAAACCCTAAACCCTAAACCCTAAACCCTAACCCTCAACCGTAACCACCCGAAATCTCGAAGCCCCCGAGCCCCTGGTCGAACTCCGTCCGTAGACGCAAGGCCTCGATCCAGAAACATAGTGCTGGTGGCGAAACGATGTCGTAAGTTTTAGTAGACCGCAGTTTATTATAGAAAATCTAGTAAACTTAGTTAGGTATTTTGGTATAATATAGCATAATATCGAATAGTTTAGTATAATATGGTCTAGCATAGCAATTCATAGTATGGTGTGTGTGTATATATATATATATATAGTATACCACGGTATATAATATAGTATAATTTCGTTTAGTATTATGCTAGTACAATATAGATAGCATTATGTACAGTATACCATAGTCTAAAATACTACAATGCAGCCTCTTATCGTTGCAATCATATTGGCAATAAGAAGCCTGCCCATTGCAAGGATCACAGGCGAGCTGTGGATCCTCACATCCACTTTCGCAAATCCCACATGGGTAGTAAGGCCCCTGTTTGCACCCCCCAAAATAGTACGGCACCCTTGTAGAAAGGGGCCTAAGGCGACCCTAGTTTAGAGAACTACCCACATGCCTTTGGCCTTGGCAGCTAGGGCTTGGAGCCGCTCCCTCAATGTTAAGGGGCTCTCTGTAAAGTGTGCTGATGGTTGAACCTAAAACCCGCCTAAACCCAACAACGCTAAACCCAAAGCAATCCTAAACCCTGAACCCAAGGGTAAGCCGAAACCCCAAACCACAAGCTCCAAACCCAAAAGGTGGCCGCCGTGCAGGGTGTTTCCGAGGCGCCCAGCGAAAATCCGCAGGCCAATCCCTGGAAGATTGTTGGGGAAATCAGGCATTTCAAGAATGACGGGCCCTATCAGGTGGTTCAAGCGTTCTTTTCTTTATCAGGACAGGGGCTAGAAGTTTGAGGATTTAGGGTCTAGGGTTTGGGTTAGGGCTGCCGGTTCCTCCCTCAGAATCCTCATACCCTTGAGGAACACTACAAGGAACTTCGGCACTATCAGCCTGTTTCCATATTCCAACTTACTTTCCGAGATCCACGTAGGTTAGAAGGGCTTACGGGTCCAAGGCTTGAGCAAACCCCTTAAAAACCTACTATTTCGAGCCCGACATCCCCTCAACCCTAAACTCTGCACCCTAAGCCCTTCAAGCTCTGAGCCCTAAAAGCCCTGTAAGCCCTATGCGCCCTACAAGCCCTCGGACAGGGTGGCGATCCCGCAAGCACAAGCCCAATCGCCGACTTCCTCTTCGTCCGCCAGACGGAGGCTAGGGGTGCTTTACTCAAGAGGGGGTTCCGTATAGTCCAGGGCCTCTAGGATTTCTGAGTTTAGGGCTTCAGCTTAGGGTTCAGAGGGTTTGGGATTTAGGGTTCAGACTTCAGGGGACATCCATAGCTTTTTGTTTCCTTTATTTCTTTAGCTTTTTCAGCCTAGGGCTCTAAAGGTTCATGCTCTAGGGCTGCCAGGGGTTCAAGCATCTATAATATACGAGGCGCTGAAGCTAGTTACTAGTTTCCAGAAGGGCGGGTTTAGGGTTGGCTCGCAATCCCACTGTTTTTTTTAAGAGCCTCATCGGGGTTTCGGGCTTGCGGCGTCTCTATGGGTTAGTTGGTCGCCCAGAGACTCCAATATCCCTGGATGAGGAATATTCTTTAAATTCTGGTAGGAAACCTTAAATGATTTAAGGAAGATTCCGGAAGTAAGGGATATTTGAGTCTCTGCCAGACTGACCTGCTGAATTAGCGTGGATGCAAGCAGAAGGGTTTGTAGGTATACGCCAAATCCTCAATCAAACAGCACGTACCCTAAACCCTACACCCGAAGCCCTGCACCCCACACCCCAAGCCTTAATCCTAAATCCCACACCCTAACCACACCCTAATACGATCATATATAATGTGTACGGCCCACCCCCTACGCTGAACTCTGCACCGCCTGAGAATCTTTCCGAGGCGTCTGTGCGCAGGGCAGTCGTAGCCCATGCAGGGTGGCTGGGCCATTGAACAGGAAGGGGTCGTAATATACGGGCCCTAAAAATTAGAACAGGGTTTGGGTGTATTTTGCAATAATTCCAATAAGGATCCCCCCAAACTCTGTTCTTATTATCAAGGCCCCTACGTTACATTTCGCGTTTGCGCCTGGGAGTTCAGGTTTCAGGATGTGGAATTTCGGATTCGTGCTTTGAGGTTTGAGAGTTCGGGGTGCTGTGCTTATGCGTAATGGATTCGGGTATAGGCTTTGGGGGGCTCGAGGGCTTCCAGGCATTTTGACATTTTCCGAGGGGAGGAGCTTTGATCTCCGGCCTTGGCGCTTCTCGAACACACTCTTATAGAAGCCTACTAGTGCCATTGTCATTATTAGAGTTGTTATTATGATTGCTGTTTTGATTAGCACTGCTATTTTTACAATTATTGACATTATTTTCACTACTGCCACTCTTGCTGTTTTTGCTGAACAATTGGTCATACGTCAACAGCCCAAAACCCCGGCTTCACTGGGAATCGGGCGAGCATCCACCCAGGAATGTCATCTATGCTGTCGCGCACGAGATGGTCCAGCTCCTGAGCGACGAAAATCGGGTTCAGGGTAAGAGTTGAGGGCGTACTATATGGGCCGAAATATTTTCCAACTGTATTTTGGTGGTTCCTTATTTTAACTAGTTATGGCAAACCCCAAAACCCCGTTCGTAATAATTAAGGCCCCTGTATTGGGGCTTCGGGCCTCGGGTGTAGGGGCTTGGCTTAGACGTTTGGATTTTGGGGTGCTGTAGATTGACACTGGCACAAGCTTGGAGCTTTTTTGAAACAGGGGCGGCGGCAGACTGTGTCCGTGTGGGCTTGGAATCATTGTGCGATTTCGGATTTGAAATGGAGTTTGTGCAGTTCGGGGTTTGTGAGGTTTTAGGCTTCGGGGTGGTGCAGTGTGGCCTGCAGCCCAGAAGTTTGACCTTGGAAAAACACCCAGCCGTTCAGCTCACTGAAGGCTAGGCTCTTCACAAGGAGTGAACATCTACAACACGACTTTGTCACAGCCTCAGAGTAACCACACAGTTCGTGTTTCAGATCACCATGCTATTTCGTTTCCTTCATCCCCTCTAAGCCCTACCGTCAACGACCCAAAATCTAAACCCCAAGCCCTAAGCCTCCTTCAACACATGCCTAGAGCCCGAAACCCTACACCCTCGTAGAACTAGAGTGCCCCTTCTCGTACCCTTATGTCACCGGCATAGTACCCTGCTAAAACCCAAGCCAATCCGTCATGCCACGAATATTGCACTGTACAGTTCATCATCGGGTTTGTCATACCAGACCCTAAGCCCTAAACCCTCTTTCCACCCTACAGTAGGTTTTTGGTTTAGCACTAGCACCCCTAAGTGCCAAATGCCCCACATCGTAAATCCTTGACCCCCGATACCCTGGGTTTAGGGCATAGTTCAGGGTTTACCTTGGGTGCAAACTGTTTAGGGATCCGAAACTTTGACCCTAGAAGACCCGAAACTCGAAGCCCAAAGCCCTAAACTAAGAGGATTGTTCTGCCCTACGTCAACAAAGAAGTCGGCGGCGACGTGATTAGCATCTGGGATGGCACGGCTAAGGGTTTAGGATCCATGAAACCCCACAGCATGAACGTCATGAGAAAGAAAGCTTAAGACTTCTGGGTTTAATGCAGCGCAACCTTAAACTTTAAGAGCCCTAAACCCAAAATTTTGAGACCTAAGCCCCGAACCCTTAAACGCACAGGTTCTTACCGGGAGTCTTCCTTTGCGGTTCTCGAACCCGAAGTTCCTAGGTTAGTTTCCCTTCACTACTCTTATAAAGCTACTTTGTGCTCCAGAAGGACATTAGGCTTTCTATAGGGGCCTGAATGGTGAGAATAGGGTTTTGTGGGGTGACTATAGACCCTGGAAATAAAGCCCGATGGACACACCATTTTTTACTAATGAAAGATGATCATTAGGATGTTTGAAGTTTTAAGTTCAAAGATCCGATGGTTTTTGTTCTGGCTTCCGGTTGAGGCGGCTGAACTGCATGGGTGTGGCGTTTTTGGATTTCTGGTTTCGCTTAGGATTTACCTACCTTGGGTTAGTAGGGAATGGAGGAATGGGGTACAATCATAACTACTATTACTACCATTCTTCCATTCCCGATTAACCAAAGGTAAGTTTAGGGATGAGATGTTCTCTACACCAGTGTTGAACACTCGTTTTTTAACATTTCAAAACCCGGATGCAATCACCATGCCGGCTTAAACCTGCAAGCACCAAGCAAGGAAAAGGCTCGGGGTTTCAACGTGTAGAAATGAAATATAGTTTGAGCTCACAGGTTGTGGCATTCTCGTTCGTCTGTTTTTGAGTTTGAGGCTTGCTCTCAGGGGTTGGGGTGTTGAGGTTCTTTACAATCAAGTTATAGCCTTCGCCCAGGCCTTTGCAGAAACTTCCTGCACATATTCATCGCCAGAAAATCCCCCTGAGCCCTGAATCCTGCAATCCCTAGCCGTTGCCCATAAACCCTATACAACTGGACCGTAAACCCCTTCACCCCAAGCCCAAACCGATAAACCTGTCTTGGAGGGGCAGGGGACTTGGTAAGTAGGTTATAAGAAGAGTTATAAGTACCCTAAATGGAGTTACCCCAGTTATAACCCTACTTATAACCTACTTACTAAGTCCCTTGCCCCTCCAAGTAGACCCTACACCCTAAACCCCATAGATCCTTTCAAGGAACCCTCTAGATCCCTTTAAGGAGCCCTTTAAGAACCCTTACTAAGTCCCCCCCTCCAAGTACAAACCCCGAGGCTTCTCCAACTACCGGACCGCTGTGAACAGCCTGCTCCTCTTCGGGGGCGTGGGCGTTGGGAAGCTTGCAGACAGGGCTGGCCCCAAGGCCACTCGGGCCTTGAGGGTTTAGGGTTTAGGGTTTTAGGGGTTTAGGGGTTTAGGGTTTAGGGTTTAGGGTTTAAGGCGTAGGGTATAGAGTTTCGACGCTGGGGTTTGATGGCTTTGGGGTTGAGGGTTAAGGGCTTGCAGGTCATTGGGATGGTTTAGACGCGAAAAGTTTTGAAAAAAGGCTGCTTCGCGCTTTCCTCTTCAGTGTTGTTGGCTAGGTTCCTGAGAGGCACCCTTTTGCCCTTGGTATTTTAGGGTCCCCTTATCAAAAGCCGAATAGTTGGAAAAAGGATACCCTTATTGTAAAGGGGCTACTCCGGAGCCTAGTTGGGGCTGACGATTCTGCGGGCTACGGGTATCCCCCGGAAGATTCAACCCTACTGAACCGCATACCCTAAACTTAAACCCTAAGCTTTCGACCCCGAACTAGAAAATCCAAACCCGAAGCACGGGCAATTTAGCAAAATACAGGCTGCTCCAAGAAACACAAGTGTGCAAGGCTCCAAGTTCCAAAATCATCATTAAACCTGCAATCCCTAGACCCCAAGCCGTCACCTTAACCTCTTAACCCTAAACCCTTGACCCAAAACCCCTAAACCCTTGACCTGTAACCCCGACACCCCTTATATAGCCCCAAAGTCCAAAAATTCAAAGCCCGAAGGAGGAGCCCTTAAACCCTAAACCCTAGAACCCGAAACCCCCCGACAACCTGAAAACGTGATCCTTGTAGTAGCATTTTGAAAACGCTGCAGCCCTAAACCCCAAGTTAGTTGTAAGCGGGCTTAAAAGTAGGGCAACTATAGTTATCACCCAGATTGAGGGACTTCTAAGTTCATTTTTAACTACCCATGAACCTCCAAGTAGGCCCTAAGCCCTATACCCTTATAGAATCCCTATAGATCCCTTTGAAAGGGACCCTTTACGCAACCCTTATAACTAGCTGTCCTCAAGCGATCCCATCGCGTCGGAGGTAGCCCTGATGGCAGCGCACGCTGCCAGTGCCTCGAAGTTCTTCCTGGTCGCCTCTGCGACCAACCTCCGGTCACTGTCCTTTGTCCTCTTTTGGGGTTCAATTCTTATGCAACTCTAAACCCTAAGCCTGAAACGATTTTGTCGTTTCGCTTGGGAATTAGGGTTTACGGTTTCTCTTGGGGTTTGGGGGTCTGCAGGGGCTTCGGGAATGACAGGGTGCTGTAAGGCTTATAGGGCTTACTGGGTTTCATATTGGCTCATAGGGCTTTTTGGCTTATACTTTGTTTCTAGAGTTTACGGTGTTTCATTCGGCCACAGAGGGTTCATGGGATGCCATAGAACCTATATGCTTGATACCCTGTTCTCTAAGGCCTAAGCCGCACAGGGCTGCAGTAGAGCTGATACACGACACATTGACACCGTATTCCTGTGTTTCTTTGGGTGTTTGTATGTTCCGACCGACCATCTCAGTGCAAGACTACTTACTGGTTACTTTCGCTTTAGATGTGCAACAAGCCCTGATCCTGCAGATAAGGGTATTGGAACAGCTAGTTTGGGATGGTTGCCGTCAAACGGCAAACCTCGGCCCCCTGCGCCCTTAGCCGAAAGTCATCGGCTCATCATCTAGAGGTCCGTATGCTGATGATTTTGCTAGTTGCAAGTTTCCCTATGTTTTCTGACACCCCAATTTTCCCGAACCCTGATTGCAAACCTGCCGGGGGCAGCCCAAGGTACCTCTCGGCCCTTCCTGCTGCATTGATGCATGCATTCCAGGTCACATTGCATGCGGCTCGGCAGCGCTTGGGATATCTTAGGTACGGCCCCCACTCAGTAATAGTTGCATAATATTCATAACATAGATATAGTAGGACCTTAAAGTAGCCATAGTAGCCCTGTTATAGACTCTTCCTGTATGGGGGCCGTACCTAAGGGATATCCGAAGATTTTTAACCCAGAGTCCCAAGCCTAGTGTTCGTGGTGGGTAGTACAATAGGTGCCGAAATACTTACCAATACTGTTTTGGAGGTTATTATAACTATAGTATAATGGGCCCCAAAGCCCTATTCTAATCACTAAGGGCCTTGTACTAATGTGGTAAATGGTTGGGCCGATCGGCGAGCACTTTGATCTGTTCTGCCTTTGTCCAGAAGTTCCTCCGCCTGTCTAGGTTCACATTAAGGCCTTTGCCTGAACTGTCTCTTTGCCTTCTCTCCCGGGTTCCTGCTGATGGACATGAAGCCTTGAGGAAGGGGGAGTTCTATTCGTTGGTCTTATCCCACGTGAAAACTTGTTCCCTCGCCCAAATCCTTCCTGACCCTGGAACCTTGATGGCTATCCTTGAGCCAGCCTTAAACCCGTCGCAACCTCAAGCCCATACCCAGTGTACCCAAATACGCCTTTTATGGTAATGTGGTCTTGAACAGGTAGGGAGACCCTGAACACGAACTAAGGTGTACTTATCAGTCACGGGCGCTGGGCGATACTTGAAGCTATCGAAAACCACCATAAATCCATGCAGCACTTTGTGAGCTTCTTACAAAAACATGCAAGAGCTGTTTGTACAACGCCGGAAAACCTTGTGGAACCACCTTAAACCCAAAGCTCCAAAACCCGAAACCCAAGCCCCCAAACCCTAAACCCTAAACCCCATGAGCCTTCCTGGAGGTGGCGACGCTGAACTCGGAGGACGACCAGAGAGCCGCAGCACTGGGCCGTGTCGGCGCGTCCCTCGCTCGGGGGAGTAGTCGAAGCAGGTTCGGGCTTAATTGTTCACATACAGACACATGTGTGTATGTATGTATATATATATACATATGTGTATGTATATATGTATATATGTATTTATGTATACACATATATGTGCATATATATATATATATATGTATAAACATATGTATATAAACATGTATATATACATATATATATATATATGCATGTCTGTCTGTATGTATGCATTTATGTATGTATGTATGTATGCATGTATGTATGTACGTGTGTATGTATAAATGTACATGCACATCTGTTTGTGTGTATTTATGTACATATGCATATACTTGTACATATACGTATACATATGTATATGCTGAAAGAAAGGCTCCAGCCCGATAGTATGTTTAGGGTTTAGGGTGAGAGTCCCGAGACCCCAAGGTACTCTTGTATGTAGGAGCCCGATAGTGTTTTTAGGCTTTAGGGCTATAGCCCCTACACCCCAAGGAGCTGGCGAGGTGCTCTTATACTAGGCTGCCCAGTAGTACCCTTATTCCCTTTTTTGTAGTCCTAGGTTCCTTATAAAGCTACCCAATACCAAAAAGAGAGGCCTTTTTATTCTTAGGTTACTGGGTATCCTAGACGCTCTTAGTTGCAGATTGATCCTTCTCCAAAACGCTCAGGCCAATGTTTTGCTCGTCACCGAGTTTCACCCACCCAAAACCCTATCCGAAACCACCTCAAACCCGAAGACCCTAAAGCCCTAAACCCTTCAACACCTTGATTCCCCCTTGCTAGATCCAAAACCCTAAAATCAAACCCTAAACCCTAAACCTTAAATCCGAAACCCTAAACCCCTAAACCCTAAACCCTAAACCTTAAACCCTAAACCCTAAACCTTAAACCCAAAACCCTTGCATGAGGCTCTATGGTATTGGCTTCCTTGCCGGCAGCGGCCTCGTCGTGGGAGCTTCGAAGTTCCCCGCAACCTTCGGGAATGAGATGGATAATATTGGTATAATTTAGAAGCTGCCCCCACCCGGTAATAGTGGTATAATAGGAATATAATAGGGCTCTAATATAATCCTATATAATCCTTATGGTCACTATTAGTCTTAGCATTAGTATAAGTATGAGTATCGGTATTAGTATTGGTATTAGTAATAGTAGTAGAAATAATAATAGTAGTAGTATTAGTATTAGTACTAGTATTAAATTAGTAGAATGCTAGAAAGTGCACAGTAATTACAGCAAAATTTTAGTACCACGACAATAGTTCTATGACAGTTCTATAATGCTGTTAGAATACATGAATATTGCAAAAGTACTACAGCTGCAAGGTTCGAAGGAGGCTCGGGGTTGTTTAGGGCTTCGGATGTGTAGTCCAGGAATTTAGGGTTTAGGGTTTAGGGGTTTAGGGGTTCAGGGTTTTGGGAGGAGGGTCTTGAGATTTGATTGAAGACCCACTGGTAATTCAAGGTAGCAGTGCCTGAAGTATGTTGTGATCTGGGCATTTTTCTGTTTAGCAACAGCTACACACGCAGTTACGGCAGCAGATGCGGCCCTGAGTTCTAGACCCGAACAGACAGGCATCAGCTATCAAAACTGCAACGTCCCAGAGCCGAAACCCGCACACAGTACAGTCCAAACTTGCAACTACTTAAAGGATCATGGGACTTAGTAATTGGGGTTATAATTAAGGTAACTCCGGTTATAACTACTTCTAACCCCAATTAAGGTACTTATAACCATACTTACTAAGTCCCATGATCCTCCAAGTACCTAGATTGCCCATCAACCCATAGTTGAGCCTTGTTCCGTAAATCTCCGGTGCTCTAGTACAAACCGTGGTTGCATGCTGCGACCCGAAAACCATAGCCAACACTCCAATGTGAAGTTCAAAACCCGAAATGCCTACAAACCCTCAAGCCTAAGCCCGAACTCCACTAAACCTCCTCGGAGAAAGAACCACTGCGTTGCAGTTAAGAAGCCCCTTGGCCTTACTTACAGCCATGAAGCACTAGGATGCCCAGTAGTACCCTTATTCCCTTTTTGTAGTCCTAGGTTCCTTATAAAGTTACCCAATACCAAAAAGAGAGGCCTTTTTATTCTTAGGTTACTGGGTATCCTAGAGCATGAAGGCCGTCAGGCCTCTGTCGGACAAGCGAAATCCTACGCCCAAAAAGGTCGCAACCCCTTCTTTGTGGCATTTCCTTCAGCTCAGATAAGTGGGAGTTTCAGAAAATTGGGGGTACCTTATTTTGGGGTCCCTATAATAAGGATCCTACTATTTGGGGTACTATATTAGGGTCCCCTATTTTCGGAAACCCCCAAGTAGGGATAATCCTGATCTAACGGCTGGTGAGACCCCCAAAGCCCTAAACCCAACAACCAAGCCCTCGACCCTAAATCCTAAATCCTAAGCCCGAAACCCCGGACCCTAAATCCGAAATTCCAAACTCTAGGCCCCAAAGCCCTCAGCCTAAACCCTCTCCGTACCCCAAGCCGCAAGCTCTCAAACCCTAAACCCAAAAGCTTATCCCTAAACCACAAAAACCACCCCTAAACGCTACTTGGAGGATCATGGGACTTAGTAAGTAGGGCTACACGTACTTTAACTAACTGTAGTTACCTTATTTATAACCCCAATTGCTAAGTCCCATTGTCCTTTAAGTACCGGAATAACGAACTCCTAAACTCTAAACCCAAAGTCCCAAACCCCCTGAACTCTTTACCCAAAACCCCCCAAACCCCCTAAACTCTGAACCCCAAACCCCCTAAACCCTAAACTCTGAACCCAAAACCCCCGAAACCCTGAACTCTGAACCCAAAACCCCCTAAACCCTAAGGTTTCTCGTGCCCAAGCACATCGCGCTCCTCGCCTCGGGGCTGGAGCTGGCCGTCGTCGGCGCCGCAGCGCTGATGTACCCGGAGGATGAGCGCGAGGCCTCCCCGTGCTTTGGGAGTTGGGCCCTGGGGTTTAGTAGGGGTACCTTTAAGGGATCTATAGGGGTACTCTAAGGGTTTAGGGTTCAGGGTCTACTTCAAGGTGCCATGGGACTTAGTATTTGGGGATCTAAGTAAGGTAACTACAGTTATACTTACTTATAACCCCAATTAAGGTACTTAAAGCCCTATTTTACTAAGTCCCATGATCCTGCAAATAGGGTTCAGGCTCTAGGGTTTACCAATGTTTACCCCCAGCCGTAAAGTGTTCAGCTTTTAAGTAAGCTTGGGTTTTGTTTTCTTATCAGGTTTCTAAACCCTAAACCCTAAGCCCTAAACCCTAAACCCAAAACACTCGAAAGCTGGGCTCCTACTTCGAGGCGTGCAGGCAACAGCCCTTTTCACCCTTACTATAGACTTAGACCCACCTGAGAAGGCACCCCCATTTTAAATCCCTAAGCCCCTGAACCCGAAATTCCAAAAATGAACCCCAAACCCTAAACCCTAAACCCTAAACCTTAAACCCTAACCCCAAACCCTTAGATCCCGAACCCTTGGGCCCTAAACCCTGAAGCCCTGAGCCCTAGAACCCTCAGGCCCTAGACCCTTAGGCTAAAACCTGAAGCCCTAAAGCCTAATATAGAGGCCTTAAAAGTTACCTACAGTATTGTGGTGGTTCCTTAATATTTAATATGTTTACAGTATGATATACCCCCAAACCCTATTCTGATTAATTAAGGCCCCCATCTTAAGCCCTAAGAGCCTCTGTTCCTCAGGCCGCTACTCCCTCTGCCCCAGCTTCGGGCCACCTTCTGGACATCTTGCCTCGACCGGGTGGCCCGTCCAAGCGTTTGAGGAGTTCAGGAAATTTAGGGCTGGATTTCAGGGTATCGTGGTTTAGGGGTTTAGGCCTGGATTTGAGGGTTTAGTGGTTTAGTGGTTCAGGGGTTCAGGGGTTTGGAAATTGGGGGGTTTAGGGAAATTGGGGCGGATTCAAGGTTCTTACGGTTTTGAGTCGAGATGCAAGTGGGCTGCAGACCGCTCGACTCTACACTCGACCCATACCTACCCCCAAACAGCAGAGACAATTCTAAGACCAAGCTGTTCTCTAAACCCTAGACCCTAAACCCTAGACCTATGCTCTACGGATTGGGCAGGCATCGAAAAGGAGCTTAAACAAAAAACCCTAGACCGTAGTACAGTACAGACCCCAGGTGTTCTCTAAACCTTAAGCCCTAGACCCTAACCCTAGACCCCAGCACAGACTCAAGGTGTTCTCTCTGTCCTGGGTTTTAAAGTCGTCCTCGCCAGCTCTGCGGGCAGCATTTGCTTCATGCTTCAGCAGCCACCGGTCTGCAAAGTTAAGGGTTCTATAACGGGGTACTATAAGGGTTCTATACAAAAGGGCTTGAATAATTACCAATACTATTTTGGGGGTTCCTTCTTATAAGTCTAGTATAATGGGCCCCAAAACCCGATTCTAATTTTTAGGGCCCCTACATTGTACTACGGTTGATGATATAAATCCTGCATGACCCATAATAGGGAATATACCATAATTCCCATAGCTTAGGGTCCTTAAGGTCATGCAGGATTTATATCATCAACCGTAGGATTTTGGCTTAGAAGGCTTTACGGGCTCTCATGGTTTTTTTTCTGCTTCTGGGCCGAAGGACCATGCACCCGTAAGGCCTTTTGAGCCTTCCGGTTAGGTATTTTGGGTTTAGGATTTCCGGTTTAGGACTTTGAAGGCTTAAGGTTTTGGGGTTTGTCGGATTTGCGATTTGGGAATTTCCGAAAATGAGGGACCCTATTATAGCACCCTAAATAGTAGGATCCTTCTTATAATGACCCCAAGATAAGGTATATCGACTTTTCGGAATCTCCCTAAACCCTAAACCCTTTATAGAACCCTTATAGATCCCTTTAAGGAACCCTTTAAAGGAATCCTAGGGTACCCATATTCTTCGGAATCTCCCATTTCGGAATTCAGATCGGCATCACCGTTCAATGCCAGACCCCTTCAGTCGGCAGACTCTGGGGAACACAGAAAGTATCGGGGACCCAAAAAGGACATAAGACATAAGCATAAGCATTCTATAGGGATATCCCGACCTTAGTTGGCTTCATTATAAGTTGGTTTATATGGGACATCCCTATCCTTTGCTTATGTGCTTCTTGGGGGCCCGAAGTAGAGGTATAGGTCTCAGGGTTTGCGTGTAGCACTTACGGAAGCGCAATAATTTTGCAACGCCACCCAACTATGAAACAAAAGAAGCCGGGACCCAGAGGAGCCCCTAAACCCCCTTTAGGGTTTAGGGTTTAGGGTTTAGGGTTTAGGGTTTAGGGTTTAGGGTTTAGGGTTTAGGGTTTAGGGTTTAGGGTTTAGGGGGCAGTTTATGTTTTAGCAGGACGCAGTCCAAAGATCCGTTAAGTGTGCAGCCCTCGTTACTCCAAGGTTTACTTGCTTGATTTGGATGACAGCTAGCACAACCTAAGTCACTGCCACCGTGTTTGAAGGCATAGTTAGAAGTACATGTCCCGACATGCAAAGCCCTAAATCGTAAACCCTAGACTCCAAAGTCCTAGATATCCCACAACACAAACTCCCAAACCCCAGAATCCTAAACCCTAAACCCGAACCCCCCCAGATCCTAAGGTCTACTTGGAGGATCATGGGACTTAGTATGTAGGGCTATAAGTTCCTTAATTGGGTAATGAGACGTGTAGATACCTTACTTATAACCCCAATTACTAAGTCCCATGATCCTTCAAGTAAACTCCAAACCCAAGATCTTAAGCCCAGGTTCGCGATGGAGCCCTTCGGCTTCCACGCATCCGAGGTAGCGATGCTCATGGCCTATGCCGCTTCGCTTTCGTATGAAGGTTATGGTTTCAGGGATTGGGTTTAGGTTTAGGATGTTTTTGGGGTTTAGGGTTCAGGTTTTAGGGTTTGGGTTTTTTTGCCCTAAACCCTAAGCCCTCAGCCCCGGCATGGAGCCTTCAGGGTAACTGGCCCATGGTGGCATTCGTTGTCTAGGACCTAGAGTAGGCCCTTATTCCCTTTTTGAGGGTTCAGGTTCCCTTATAACCCCCTTTAAACCAAAAAGGGCATCCTTTTTGTTCCTAGGTTACTCTTGGGTCTAGTTGTAAGGGGTCTTCAAAGGGCACTGCTGGGTCTAGGGTCGGGGGCATTCTGGCTGGAGGGCAAGAAGGGTTTGGGTTCAGGGTTTCCGAAAACTCCAGCATCCCCGTACAAAGCTTGAAATCCCCGACCCCCCCCAACATTTCATAACACCTAATTAAAATCCTGAGAATCTTGAGTTCTTTTTTCCCTAAACCCTAAAGAAAACAAATCTTGAGTTCCGCTTCAACCTACAGAACCCATCCTCAGGTCTCGTCGGAGTTCCCTACGCCTAAGCCCTCAAAGTTACTTGGAGGATCATGGGACTTAGTAAGGGTTATAGGGGTCCCTTTTGAGGGATCTATAGGGGTGCCATAAGGGTTTAGGGTTTAGGGTCTACTTAAAGGATCATGGGACTTAGTAAGTAGGGTTATAAGTACCTTAATTGGGGTTCTAAATAATTTTAACTGTAGTTACCTTATTTATAGCCCCAATTACTAAGTCCGATGGTCCTTTAAGTACAAGCTCCAATATCCGAAGTCCCAGACGAAACTCCCCAATACCCCCTGGATTGAACACCGGAGTATCTTGCTTGATCAGCTCCACCCCCAAAAGGGTTTAGAGTTTAGAGCTTAGGATTCAGCAGCCCTAAACCCGAAGTCCTAATTACCCTCGAAAGAAGCATGTGCCCTAAACCCTACGTCCTAAACTCTCCAAAGAAGCATAAGCATATCCCCTAAGTCCTAAATGCATCCCCTCAACCCGAAGTCCTAAACACCATCGCAAGAAGCATATCCCCCAAACCGTAAGTCCTAAACACCCTCAAAAGAAGCTTACTTCAAGGATCATTGACTTAGCAATTGGGGTTATAAATAGGGTAACTACATTTATAATTACTTGTAACCCCGATTAAGGTACTGTATGACCCTACTTGCTAAGTCCCATGATCCTCCAAGTATCCCCCCCCACGAACCCTAAACCTTAAACCCCTAAACCCCCAAACCCTAAACCCCTAAACCCCCAAACCCCCAAACCCTAAACCCCTAAACCTCTTAACCCCTAAACCCTAAACCCTACACCCCTAAACCCCAAGCCCTGAGTCCTAAGATCAGGTCGGCCTTTTGCAAATCGCCTCCCAGTCGCTGATCCCAGCCTCGGCGGCACCCCGGGAGCTTTACGCCACCTCGGCCGCCGCTTTTCCGGAGATCTTGGGTTTAGGGTTTAGGTCGCTTTTTTCCGGAGATTTTCGTGGAGCTTCCGGATTGCAGTAGTGTTTCGAGTTTGAAGGTGAGCGGAATTGGAGGAGTTGAGTTTAGGACTAGAGTTTTTGAGTTTTGGGGACTATGGTTCAGGAACTAGCGTTTGGGGTTTAGGGTTTGGGAGTTCGAGTTCATTCTTGATGTCTGTGTGCCCTTGTTGCTGCGCTTTGCTTGACTTGGAGCAACCCTTGACCCAGCTTCTAATCTTCCTTGAACGATAAGGCATGGTTTGCGGCACAGGAACTGTGAGCCGAAACCGCGCGCATTGAAATAGCCTTGCCTTCCAGCTTTTTTGGGATCGTTACTGAGCAGTCGCAGGCTGGCATGAAGCTAAACCCTCAACAGGCCCTCAAAGTTCGCCGATGATGCAGGAACTCTTGCTCAGGGTACAGGTTTAGGCTCCGTACAAGCATGCCAGTCGTGACTTGCTATAGGACTAACCCACCCTAGTTATCTCCTGTTGAAACTAGTCATAGATGAAGACCCCAGATCGTAGGATCCTATGACACAGACCATGTAGAAGGGTTCGGACAAGCTCAAATCTCCCTCAGCCTGCGAATTGGTTCAGCCATCGTGAAAGCCTAACACGTAAGTTTGGATTGTCAAGTAGGCAACTACGAAGCCTAAACCCTCCAGGGCATGCTGAGGATCCCTTGGAGACGGGACTACATCAGAACCCCACCCACACCCCTCCTCTCCGAAAACGAGTCCCATACCTTTGGAGCTTGCCTTCACCATCAGTGAGGTCACAGTTGCCGGGAGCCTCCTTGGCCTGGGATTGATTCTCAGCGACCACGAGGGTTCGGGTTCAGGCTTTCGAGGCTAGACTGGATTTTAGTAGATTCTAGTATACCATTGGGTGTCATGGTATGTTATAGATACAGTATAGGGTTTCGAGTTTAGCCTTCAGGTCTCTGGCCGGAGCAGGTAATGTAGAGGCCTTAATACTTACCTTAGTATATTGGGGTTCCTTATTCTGGTTGTATTATAGTATAACCCAAAACCCCATTCTAATCACTAAGGCGCCTACATTAGCTGTCGTCATCGGTGACGTGGCTTCGAGAGAGACTCGAGAACGATACTATCGCTGCATGCTCATTAGTTTTACTACCCCGGCAATTCTGTTTCCAAGACCCTCGTTAATCACCACATCGAACTGCTGTGTCTCTCTCTCTCTCTCTCTCTCTTTCTCTCTTTTCTTCAGAGGCCCAGAGCAAGCCCAAGGATGCATTGGTTGATTAGTCAATTTGGCTCATCGCAGACCACCAGTAGAGCTGTCGGTGAGACCGCAACAACTTCTCAGACCTGCAACGTCTCATGCCGCGCCGCCGCTACTTGGGCATTGTCGGGCCGAAAGACGACGGCAAGGGCGGAGGAAAATTGACAAAGGTGATCAACGTCGGCGGCGCAGTGTTGCTGGGGGCAGTAACAGCGGGTGGTGGCACTGCAGTGCTGGCAGCCACAGGTGCCGCAACTTGCAGCGTCAGCGCAGCCGCAGTCACTGGCGCCGTGATGAGTGCGGGGGCATCGATCGCAAAGAAGGAGCCTACGGCCCAGGCCGGCATCAGTGGGAAGTTCGGTGGCGGCGCACGGTACAGTGATTGCGGCGCCGTTCAGGGCACACAGAGGGACGACGAGCACAAGAGGGCCGAGGCCCGGGCTCCAGAGCAGCCCACCTTGCCCACGCCGGCTGAGATGAAGGTGCCCGAGCTGGCCGAGATGAAAGTACGCGAGATACAGCCAGCGAGACTGGAGAACCCAGAACCCACCATGGCTGAAATCGAAGCGGCCTTTGCCAAGACATCGCCCAAGCCACATCAACTCTGCCATGCACTCCCACAGCTCCGCGAGCGTGCAGCAGCCGAACGTAACAAAGCTGAGGTTGCCGCCTTCGCCCGCGACGAGGTGTGGAGCCCCGCCTTCGAGCAGGATGTGCAGGGCATGGTGCTGGGACCGCCTGGGCCTGGCGAGCTCGTGATTGACCCGCTCATTGGCATGGCAGGCACGATCTTCCTCACGCACAGGGCAGCAAAGGCAACCAAGGAGGCTGAGACTCTGGACTGGTGGGTGCGGAGGCTGCAGACGCAAGGAAACTGCAGGCCAGAGCAAGAGTAATTAGGTAGCAACAATAGGCCCCTCGCCCGAAGCACGCTGCAAGGAGGTGCACCTGTTACAGTACACGGGTGCACCTGTTACAGTACAGGCGCAGATGAAGGGCACTCTTGCGAAAAAGTATACGCATTGGCTTTCTTTGTTGCATTCCACATAGAGCTGACCACCAACCCCTAACCCTAAACCGTAATCAAGCCCCATAACAGTCAAAGGATGCCTGCCTCGAAGCACGGATTCGTGCTGTGGCTGGCGCCGCTGTGCGCCGGCTGAATAGCTTTGGCTTGGCGCGTTTCGGTTCAGGGTTTAGGGTTCAGTGGTTTTGGATGCGAGAGTGTTGGAGTTGATAAGTTGGTGATTTCGCCGCCTTTTTCATCCGGGCTGGCTAGTCGTTTAGAAGGGTTTCAGCGCTCCGGAATTCCAGGGTTTGCCTCGCAGTTTCTGGATTTGGGATTGGGCGCTAGGCTTCGTGTCATCCGCGGCGCTACCATTTGTCGCGGCCCCGCACATTTACAATCGGAGTGCCCGCAGAAACTCTTGCAACAAGCATTGCTCTGGTGGCCTAGTGGGCATAGTGATCTAGTGTTTATCATTTGTCACCACTGTAAAGTCGTTTCACTTCAGGGTTTGAAAGTCTTCTGCCGAGTGCTACACGGCTTTAGATGTCTGATGGTGTTGCTCTGATCTGGTTTAGCTAAAGATAAACACCCTGAATCAAGGAATATACCTTAAACCATACCAACACGCCATCTTTTCTGATTTCAGGCATATCTCTTTAGTTGGGAACCCTATAATTAAGCCTAATGTGGAGTTTAAGTCGTTGGGTTCCGAGGATGCTCAGCTTCCACTCAGCTAACACAGCGCTGGGATCTCTTCTCACCTTCTACGTCCCGGAATCTGAGTGGCCTGGCTCAACAAGCTGTCTGAACGGCAAGTAATCTTGTGCCCTAGGATATCACAGCAAATAAAAGTTCGCAGGTTGCCCGAAAAAAATGGATAGCATGAAGCACATCAGAGTTCCGAGGTTGCTCGTTTCGTCTAATTGCTAGTCATATTCCCTGACTTACCCCCCATTGACATATAACCATTTTATAATTCGCTCAGACTTTACATTGAGTGTCCACATTTGTTTGGCGGGTTGTGGATTCAGGGTTTGGGAAGGCTCAAGCACTGAGCTCCAACGTCTAAAAATTGAACCCTAAAATGAGACCCCTATTCAACCTTGGCAGGCTTTTTTGAAGCCGTCCTGAAACTTGGAGAAAAAATCCATGGAACTAGGCTGAAAGCTAAGTTACGTTGTTCGTCTTACTTAGGGCTCAGGGTATAGAGTCTTGGGTTCAGGGTGTATTATAGGATCCTTAAGGGGGGGTGGTTCAAGGGGGGAGGGTACTAGGGAGCTTTGGGGAACCTTAGTAGGGAGTATTGGGGAATAATGGGGATTACTAGGTTACCTACCCCCCTTGGACCACCCCCCCTTAAGGACATCCTAAGTGTAGGGCTTAGGAGTCGAGGGTTCGGGGTTCGGGGCTGGGGGAGTTCAGCGTTCCGGGTTTGGGGCTACGGGCTTTAAGTTTGCGCCCCGACCCAAAACCCAAACTCTAAATCCTAAACCCTAAACCCAAACTCTAAATCCTAAACCCTAAACTCAAAGCCCTCAGCCCCGAATCCATCAGGCTGGGCACAGTCATCGGCCTCAGTGTAGCGACGATGCCTCTCAGCAGCATCCTCGCCGTGCAGGTTCGCTTGGGGGACGTCTGGGCCGCAGAGAGGGTATGCTTTGGGGTTTAGTGTTTAAAGGGTTTTTAGGGTTTAGGGTTAGGGCTTAGAGTTTAGCATTTATAGGGTTTATGGTTTTAGGGTTTAGGGTTCAGGGGTTTAGGGTTATAAGTTTCGAGGGTTCTAGTAAGTGCGGTTCAGCGTTTAAGGTTTAGGGCTTGCACTTTCGGCATAGCGGTGTTCAAGGTTTCACGCCTTCAGCCTGAACGTCTAGACGCAGGCTCGACACATTGTAGGATCTGGGCTTGCCTCCTTAAAGCCTGGGTACGAAAGTAGCTAGAAAGGACAACTGCATGAAGTAGTGGGACCAGACAGCCCGTAACGCCCCAAATCACCCAAACCACTAAGCCCTTAAGCCGGAAGAGGCCGCCGGGCACATCTTCAAGCGACATGGCTTCGCTGCAGTTCCGTTGAGCTCTGCCGGTGTCCTTGAAGCATCCGGGAGCTTCCTAAACCCTAAACCCTAAACCCTAAACCCCTCGGTGTGGTGTAGGACTTTCAAACAATTAAATGAGTGTTTCGAGGGCCTTCTGGCCTTTGGGCTTTGGAAAGGAACGATAGGAACCCCTTCAAGACACCCCAAAACCGCTTGGGACAAACTCTTACCGTTGATTAGTAGGGAGTGGAAAAATGGTAGTAATAGTAGTTATGATGGTACCCCATTCCTCCATTCCCTAGTAACCTAAGGTAAGTATCCCTTTAAAGGAGCCCTAAACCCCTATAGATCCCTTTAAAGGAACCCTATAGATCCCTTTAAAGGAGCCCCATTCCCTCCTAACCAAAGGTCAGAAACCTCTCAACTTTGAGGCTTCCTCTTGGCTGCCTCGGCCCTGATTTTCGCCTTTGGCTGGCTGCCGCCTTCCGAGGGCTCGGAGATGGAAGTGGAAGAGGTGCAGGATTGGGATCCTTTAAAGGGATCCTTTAAGGGATCTACAGAGTTCTATAGGGGTTCTATTGGAAGGGGAAGAAATGCAGAAACGGTCGGTTTAGGGTTCAGGCTTAGGGTTGAGGGCAACTTTTAGGGTCATTGCAAGGGTTACCGTAAGGGGAGATAAACGCGAAATTCTGCTGGGGAACCATAGGCGTTTAGGGATTTATGGGAATTCAGATTTTGTGGTGGAGGATAGCGCGCTCGGTTCAGGGGTTTTGCGAACATGGCAGATGGTGATCTTCACGATGCTGCTACTACCACCACAACAACAACACTTACTAGCAGTTCTAATGCTCGTTGAATCCTCCTCCTCCTCCTCCTCCTCCTCCTCCTCCTCATCCTTATCCTTATCTTGGTCATCACACCATCATCATCATCGTCACATGCGGAGTTTCCTTCGTTGACTTCGCAGGACCCGCTTTGAGCCCCGGCGCAGTCTTCGCATCGCAGCGCGTCAGGCGGAAGCCTACTTGCAGGTTTAGATTTTTTTGGTATACGGGTTGCCATAGGGGTTGCCGTGAGTGTTGCTGTAAGTGTTCAGTGTTTTGGGGTTTAGTGCTGTAGGGCCAGGTTCTGCGGCCCTGTTGACAGTTTGTTTAACGGAGCCCCGAACCCTCAAAGGAATCGTGAGCCTTTGATGCCGGCACAGGTTTTGTGCTGGGACGCTTGGATCAACCCGGTCTTGACGATAGGTTTTTCAGACTTATCCCCACTAAAGCCCGCATTATTCAAAGCCCCTTGAGAGCCCTAAAGCAGTCCTGAACCCCAGGCTCTTCATCACATCAGAAGATTAAGAGCCATACAAGCCTTCGAAGTACTTTGAGGCCCAACTGCTAAACTGCCTAGACCCTCAACCCTGAAGGTTCGCCTAAGCTTAAACCTGGGCGGCAAAGACGAGTAAACACTAAAGACTATACCCAAACGAAGACTAGACTGCTTGCTTGCAGGAACGAGTAGATGACGGCTAGATGAGCATCAGCGGTCCGACTTCCCCACGAGCCTGTACTGAAGAGGTCACGTAGGGAAATGAATAAACAGCCGTGATATTCTGTTTTCGTCAGGGTTTCCAAATCAGTTATAGTATGGGAAACATCAAAACTTTGGTCTGTGTATTTTGCAGGCATCCTCATTTGCATTTTGCATTGGCGTTGCTACCGGCTTCCTCGATGCTTGTTTGTACTGGGCTTTAGGGTTTCAGAGCGTTTGGTGTTCTGTTTGTATGAAGTCTTGGTGTATTTATTTATTTCTATTTTGGTGGAGTTCGGGCCTTTGGGTTTCGAGGAGGGCTGCAGCCACGCGACCGGCTGCCGTGACTTCATAAAATTTACTTGTCAGGGATTTTGGGGTTGGAGGGTTTTGGGGCAGTAGGGTTTTGGGGGTTTAGGGTCTTCTGGTTTCGGGCTTTAGGAATTTAGGGATTTGGGTTTTAGACGTTGGGCTTGCGGGTTTGGGTCTCGGCGCTCGCGATCCTAAACCCCAAGCCCTTCCCAGCATGATTTTGTGGAGAGCTAACCGAAGAGTGGGCCTTAACTTACAGATGATTGGAAGGGCTCTTGAGGGCTGCAAAACGTGTATCCGACTGGCGTGGGAGCCTAAAGCGTTGCCTGGCTCTGTTTATGTTCAAGGGTCTGGTGGTCAGTGGTTTTCGAGATGCTGCAACCGCAACATGCTGATCACTAAGTCCCATGATCCTGCAAGGAAGCCCCCAGGTAGTCCCTAACCCTAGACCCTAAAAGTCTAAAACAAAACCCTCTCTCTCTCTATACATGTGTGTGTGTGTATGCATACATACCGTTACATACCTATGTACATATAGACCTAGACACCGAAAACCTCCAAGCAGTCCTCCACCGTGATCACTGCGGATTGCATTCCTCAGGTATGCCCTTCCAGGAACCAAGCGACCAAGAAGTGACTTCAAGGGTTCCAACACGGTGGACCGTCGAAACATGGGTCCGTTGATGAGCTACACCTGACCGGGGGTTTGCAGAGGGTGCCGTGTTTTTGGCAACTGCGCAAACCGCCATCGCACATGTGGTCATGGAGCATCGTAGCCGGTGCTGCAGCCGGGGTGGAGATGGACTCCCAGTGCTGGATCCTTCAACCTCGAAAGGGTCCAGCAGACAAGATGCGACCTCCCTAATAGCTTTTGAGTGGACCGTGGACCGTGGGGGCTCATTGGTAGAGTGATGGTGTTTCAGATGCCGCAAAGCTGTAGTATTTCTGTCCGTGAACCTCCACTGGTCGATTCTCAGCCCCTTGCTACAATGCCAAGGCCGTGGCTTTCGAGAAGCACCTGCTGAGAAAATCGTGTTGGCGACCCCCCAAAACTGCGTACAATTGTCCGTAGAGCCTTGCGAGCCACAAAGCGGTTTTCGACACTTACGTCGCAGTACTCAGAAGAGAAACAAGTTTTCATGCTTATTGCATTCTTACAGTCTGACAAAGCAACGGCAAAGCTCTAAGCCCCCCAAACTGAAGCCGTAACCTGAGCTTAAATTCCTTATCCCGGCAAGCTTGATCTGCAGGTCCCTGCTCTCGTAGGCACTCCAACACAACAGCTGCACCATAGGGATAAAGTTCAGGGTATGTTGTCCGGGCAATTGAAATTTTGATACAATTATCGGGCCTTCGGGTTCAGGGTTCTTAAGCCCGGGACCCCAAACCCTAAACCCCTAAGCTGTAAACCCCAAACTGTTTCAGTTTAGGATGCAGGGGCCAAGGAGCAGAGGCCCCTTAGTCAGCCTTAGGCTTGAAGCTTCCAGGTAAGGTAGGAACCTGATCAAGAAATCGCGGGCATTTATTAGGGATCCTCATATGAATCCTACTATTTTGGGGTCAGAGGCCCAGGGTTTCTTAACCAGGTTCCTACATCATTGGGCCATTGGGTTTAGAGTTGAGCACCATTGCAGCCATTCATCCTGCTCTCTTATCTCTGCTTTTTACTCAGGTTTCTTGTCGGGTGTCAGACCTTCCACTTCACATCGTCGACTCTTGTCCGGCGCACTCACAACTATTGGTCGTACGAGCACTGCCCGCTAAATGGTGTAGACTTCGCACGCGCTAAACCTTCATCCCTATACTAAACCGTAGACTAAACACTCAGCCTACCTGAAACCCACACCCCTGAACCGCTCTTAACGTCCGTTTGTCAGTTTTAATGAATTGAGGCTTGAGGTCTACAAACCGCAATGTTAGAAGCGGTGGATCTAGGCTCTATAACTATGAATTGAGGCCCTCATATTGTTATGGACATCGAATCAGCTAGATGAACTGCACTGCCACCCAAGCTTTCCTGGTTTTTCTGCAAGCCCCAAACTCTCAGAGGCCGAATCCCTTGACCCCAAAACCCCGAGCCCCACACCCCGAGCCCTAAATCCTAAACCCCGAACATCCCCCCCCTCCTCCAAAAACAAGCAACACCATGTCAAGCCCTGAACCTTAAAACCAGTCAACGAAACCGTTCGCTTCCGTCCCCAACACCATCAATCCGCGAGACCACGGCCACGGACACGACCACGACCACGGTCACGGTCACGAAGATGTCGATCACCCACACACGTTGCAACAGCAGGAGGTGCGCCAGCTGCCCCCTACCCTACAGTCTTGTCCGTATGCGACAGTCGGGGGAGAATGGCGCTGTATCTGTGCGATTTCATGCAGTTTCGAAATACTTTTTTGTTTCGTGTCTTTGTTCGTGCCTGTGTCCACGTCTTGATCACCCTGGCGGGTTGAACTAGATTTATAGCGTTCATGACAAACATTGTCAAAAGGAGTTATGGGAGATCGGCAGAGTCTACTTACAAAGAAGCCTTCGGCTTTAGGTTTAGGGCTTTGGGTTTGGAGGGTTGAGGTTTTATTATAGGATCCTTAAGGGAGGGTGGTTCAAGGGGGGAGGGTATAAGGAATCCTTAGGGGACTGTAAGGGAACCTTAGGGAGTACTAGGGAGAATTAGGGATCACTAGGCTATATACCCCCCTTGGACCCCCCTCCCTTAAGGATACTACAATTTTAGGGCTTTAAAGTAGGCTCTCATTTGAGGGGAGTCCTGGTCTGGGGCTGAGCCGGGAACGTTGGACTCCACTGATCCCTGAACTGAAGCCTTACTCAGTAGAATAGGGTTCCTTTAACGCGGTCTACAAGGGCGAAAAATAAAGGCTATTATAAGGATTTGGTCGCTAAGCTCGAGGTTAAGAATGAGTTCAGTAACTTTCATACACGGATTGTCAATCGTACGCGTATTCATACCAGCAGGGAGTACAGAAGCAATGTTAGTGCTAGCAATCGAGACAGCCTTGAAGGTGAGGGCAGCGAGTAATGGCAGTGCTGAGGGAACGAGCAACAAGACCAGTAGGCGAAGCAAGCCGTACATTCATTCGGATTATATAACAAAAACAAAAGAAAGAAGACACCGAGAGTGATCAATGGAGTGCAAGCAATTGCTTGATTACTAGAGTAGAGATCGTCAGAGAAAGAAGGGCGACAGCAACAAGAACAACACCACCACCACCAGCAACAACAACAACAACAACATCAACAACTACTCCTGCTACCGCTGCTGCTGCCGCTACTGTTGCTACTGCTGCTACTGCTGCTACTGCTGCTATTGCTGCTGTGGCTGCTGCTGCTACAACTCCTACGACTACTACTACTCCTACTGCTCCTCCTCCTGCTCTGGCTCTTGCTCCTGCTCCCACTCCTGCTCCTGCTACTGCTACTACTGCGTTGGAGAGGCGCGGCGTGACATTGGCCGAAATGAGCGTTCTGAAGATCTGGCTTCAGGGTCTGGGGAACGTCTAGGCCTTGGATTGCGGTTTTAGGCTTTAGGGTTTTGTTTAGGGGGTGAGGGTTTAGGGTTTAGGGTCTTGGCTTCTGGGCAAGATCAGGAGCAGCAACAATTCATTCGGAGCTTGACGAAGGAGATTATAGCTGGAAAGTCTTGCTTTCGCTTGCCCGGCAGCTTTTAAGCCTCATGGCGTAGATCGTAGGTAGGCTGCTCATGTGAGCCGTAGACTAAGTTCGTGTCTCATTATCGTAGTTCTCTGAACGAGGACCCCGTTAAGGATCTCCCACCAGATGGAGTCACTCTTACAGCCAGGACCCTAAAGCCCTAAACTTAAACCCTAGGCCTTGAAACCCACAGCCCCAGTACATAAAGTTCTGACCAACATGGGAACGACCGGGCGTGCTCCTTAGATGAACCCTCAAGCTAATCGTAGACAGGGCTTAGGGCTGCCTAAGCTCCTGAATGCTAGGCAGTGCTGTGCCTGAAGCCCACCATTGCCATCTCGCCGACTCTCTGCAACACCTCCCGAAATCTTGGAACTTGCACCCGTGAGAGCGAGCACTAAACTGCCTTTTGTCACTTTGTGGACACCGAAGCCTTCGTTTGGTGACCGCTGCGATGCCGAGCCTACGCAGTG